CAACATTGTTCACAATCCAATAAACAGTGTTAATGTTGTTTTTAAGTCATACTTGCATGCTAATTCCGCTCAAATATTCAAAGTAACATGGTAAACAATACAGAGACTTCTAAATAAATGAATATATGAATATAAAACCAACGGTACCTCTATTATATTGTTTATCATGTTACTTTGAATATTGGAGCAGAACTAGCATGGACGAGTGGCTTGAAAACAACAATAACACCGTTTATTTGACTGTGAACAATGTTGTACTTTTATAGTCATTAGCTGCTAATATCATTTCACTGTATAGAGTTTGCAAATAATACTTTTATGAAATTATATTTTTATGGGGAAAGTCTGAATGTGCGAATATAAAACCAACTTTACCTCTTTTAGAAATAAATGTCATGTGTGACTATTGTTTCTTGCTCAGACTTACTCTTTTACTCGATTTCTTTTTGTTAATTACTCTCATAAAGAAACTGTTGAAGAGAAGTTATTTTGTTTCTGTTCATTGTTTTATTTATTTTAAACAGGAAATTTTTATTGTTTTGTTCATTTTAAACAGGATAAAGTGTCCAAACACAGAGAAAAACTCCTGCTGAAGCGACTGATCTCCACACTGTTATAAAGATGGCGTTTATTAAAGAGGAGAGTGAAGATGTGAAGATTGAAGAAACATTCACAGTCAAACAGGAAGAACTGCAGGAACAAACAGGTTGAGTTTCATTTTCAAAAGACCAACTTAGTCATTTGATTCTCATTCAGATTTTGTTTTTAAATAATGACAATGCTAAATTACTGCTAAACCATCCTGCAGCCCTGAGTGTGCTGCCTAGTTCTCCTAAATATAGAAGTTAAGTTGGTTTTATATTTGCACATCTGGACTTTCCCCTTTATTTTAACATCATTAATAGTTTCGTTTAAAACACACAAATACAACAACACTGATAAAGTCTTATAAGCTCTCAGTCATGGAGGTAAAGTATATTATATTCGGATATTTAGACATATGTTTCTTTATTTAACCGGATAAAAACCCATTGAGATCAAGATCTCATTTACAAGGGTGACCTGGCCTAGAGGTCCCCAACACAATATTTATGATTTTTTTTTATAATATTAATAATAATAAATATAAATTTTATATAATATAAAAATAGAGTTCAGTTGTTCAGCTTTACCACATTTCAATATATTAAAAACACATACATTGAGAAATTGACTGTTGTTGTTTGTTAAAAAGGATAGAGCGAAACAATGTCATAGCATTGGGATGAGCTCAGACATTTTTATTTCAGACTGAAAAGTATTCCAGGATGAGGGGGCGGCATGACTGATGGCTCGCTTCCCTATTTCAGTTCGAACCCGGGGAACAGTCAAATGATAAGTTTCACTTGAATGTAGGGCATATTGGCTTTTATTATTACATTCAGAGAAGGGCACTCAGCTTTGGCATACAATTCACAATGGTGAGTAAGGGTGCTTTCACAGTTCACAGCTAGTGTAAACGTGTCTTCTGAACTCAGGTGCGCACCCTTGAACACTATCCGAGTCCGCCTGAAAGAGGTGGTCTGGGGTATGGTTCATGCAAACTCTGGTATGGTTCACTTCTGATGTGAATGCAATTGTACCAAATCACGGAAGTGAACCGCCAACTGTACAACAAACTATCGCTTTCATAACGTTCATTTGTGTTTGTGTGTGTGTGTCACGTTTCATACCTTGGTGACACGTGCGGGACTGAGCCAGGGCAAACACAGTGATACACAGTGATGTCTGCTTGTCTCTTCCAGATGGACACAAGTCGCTTTCTGTTTGTGCAAAACTAAAAACTTCAGTTAAAGCAGAATGACAGCGATGTGCGGACGCCTTTCCATTTCGACGCTTGCTTTCGGGACCGTCTCCTAGCAAAGGCCCTAAACAAAACAGCAGCTCGATGACGCAAGCGTACCGGGGTTCAGAAGGAAAAAAGACAGTATGAACACAAACCAACCGAGGAGGTGGCAGGGGGAGACGATCGAACTTGGGTACGGTCCAGGCAAATGAACCAAGTGTGAAAGCACCCTAAGTCTTTGACAGCCTGTAACAAACCTTAGAGCACTGTGATAGATGGAGTTTAAAGGCTGAAGACATTTGGTTGAAGCCTTCATATATAAAACATCACCATAGTCAATCAATGGTAAAAACTCTTCTTTATAATATAACTTTATAAAAGTATTATTTTCAAACTCTAAATAGTAAAATCATATTAGCAGCAAATGACTATCAAAGTACAACATTGTTCACACTAAAATAAACAGTGTTGATGTTGTTTTCAAGCCACATTTTCATGCTAATTCCGCTCGAATATTTAAAGTAACATGGTAAACAATATGGAGACTTCTAAATGAACGAATGAATGTGCGAATATAAAACCAACTTTACCTCTATCTCCTAAATGCACATAAGCACTCATTGAAAGACAGTAATGAGTTTCTTTCTTGTTACTTGTTCTTGTGTCTTTTGTCATTATTTTATGTATTATTAGTCTCCCATTTTTTCTACCTTCTTAAGGTTATTGGTTTTCTTGTTCTATTACTGTTTGTAAAGTGTGCTTGAGCACTGGCGCTATGTAAAATAAATGTAAACAATAATTTTTAAAAAGGTTTAAAATGAGCTGGTGATATTTGACCTACAGTATTCTTATAGAAGATATCTGCTATTATAGTGATAGTGTTGGCTTAGTACTTTCCATTTGCATATGTCCTGTTGATCACAATTTCTCAACATCTTTATGAATTTAAACATGTTTCTAGTAGTTGTTACTAGTTCTCACAGATAGTATCTGAGTTTTGCCACCCAATCTGGCCAAAACCCATACAATCACCAACAATCCATCTCAATAAATCCTTAAACTTTTCATTCAAAAAGGTTATTTTAACTCTATTTATCATAATGGTTTAATTATTTTCCTTACAATAACAGTTGTTTAAGCATTCTCCATGCATTTACTTGTTTTGCATAGATTTAGTTTATAAAACTTTTAAAACATTTTTATTATTTTAAATAAAGTTTATGTTTGTAAAAAAGTATGGATATAAGTAATGCTTTTTTTTTTACACAATATTTAAATATTTATCTTTGGCTAAAATATATATATATATATATATATATATATATATATATATATATATATATATATATATATATATATTTTATTTATTATTGTATTATTAAATGTATTAAATTATAATATTTTTTGATAATTTGAAAAAAAAAATGCCTTTAGCCTTTTATGAGTTTAAAATTTAATTCATAATGTTCTTAAAAATGTCTTAAGTCTTACATTTAACTAGGTGAAACCTGCAGAAACCCTGGTTTAAAGTATGTCAAAAAATTTGAATGCCCCCAATTTTTAATATGCTAAATGAAATGGACACTAAAATAATTAATTATCATAAATCATTGTAAAACTTTTTGCTTAAGACTTTATTTGAAGACTGAATTTTTAGATCCTAAAAACTTAAAGGTGTTATGCTGCTTGGGTATGAGACGATAACGTTTTCAAGGTATAAAACTGCCAAAATTTTCTATACCATTCCTACTGTATATGTAAGTTTATTTTAATTTTAATTATTTTTTTAAGTTTTTCAGTACAACAGTATCTCAAGCAGAAAAGATATCCTAAGATGCTGTTTTAAATTGTAAAGCAATCTGTGTTTTTTAAACAAATGAGGTCAACAGTAGTAATTTATTCATTTAAATGATTTAGCCTGACATGTTTACTGCTCCAATATTTAAAAAGTTTCTCAAAAGAAAATATTTTGTGTTCAAAAGGAAACAAAGTGTTTGGTTTTTTTAAGATTCTAAGAGAAAATTTATTGATATGAACTTTTTAGATCGTTTTAATACAATTTGTGTATAATAGTAGACATGCACAATATGATTTTAAAAATAAAAGCAATAATACATTTATGCAGTCATGAACATGTGTTGACAGTAATATGACTCTGATTTGATGCTCCACAAAAGGTGCAGACGCCTTTACCAATATCAAAATGCTTTTGTAAACATCCAGTTATTCTTTACACAGAATAAGAAACCGGCTACTATAGTAAAGAAAATCCTCTTTAACTGTAAAACTAAATAAATTGCTAAATACTATTGACACATGAAAGTGTAAAGCCTGCTGCTCACAACAAAGGTGAAAAGTTATTGTGTAACATATTTAACAAACCATTGACTATGAATTTTATTCACATGGATAATTGAATTTTAATCAGATGATGTCATTACGCTGCTGTGCCGTCAGCCAATCGTTGCATTGATTATCATAATTTCGATCGATAGATCTGTCCTTCACAACACGGGCAGTGATCTCATATCAGTTCATCCAGACTTTTAAATCTGATTCTCAAGCTTGTTTGAAGAACCAAATTTGCCAGAGATCAGTTATCAAGATTAAAAGATCCAGGATCTGCCAAATCATCTTAGATCATTTAAGCGAGGTCCAAAGAACGACAGGTCACTACTATGACATGATTGACAATTGTCACTGTTTGTCATTTTGCTCCGTTTATCCTGAGAGCTGATGCTGAGTATTCTCAGAGTTTTTCACACTTCAAACTGTTAACCCTGGGTCATTCTAAACTGTAAGACTTTAATATTTGGGTGAAACATCCAATTCTTGCTTGTCGCTTTGAGCCTTCATACTAAAGCTAACTTTTTTTTTTTTTTAGACCGGATGGTGCTGAAAGAAGAGACTCATCAACAGAATGAAATAGATGAGAAACAGCAGTTTGAGAAACCCCAAGAAATAACGACTGATGAAAAACCCACACTGACTAAAAAGACTTCATCACACAGAAGACATCTGAAATACAAATCTGGGTGTAATTTCAGCTGTAAACAGAGTAGAAAGAGTTTCAGTCAAAAGCCAAACCTTGATGTTCACATGAGAGTTCACAATAGGGAGAAACATTACACCTGCGAACAATGTGGAAAGAGTTTTCCTAAAATCAATTTCCTTAAAGCCCACATGAGAATTCATATTGGAGAGAGGCCATACACATGCCAACAGTGTGGAAAAAGCTTCCATCATGCAAGAAACTTGGCAGTGCACATGAGAATTCACACTGGGGAGAAGCCTTACTCTTTCCCTCACTGTGGAAAGAGTTTTAAACAAAATAACAACCTTGAAGTCCACATGAAAACACACACTGGAGAGAGAAGTTTTAATTGCACACAGTGTGGGAAAAGTTTTGCTAAAAAACAAAACCTTAAAATCCACATGAGGATTCACACCGGAGAGAAACCTTACACATGCACAGAGTGTGGTAAAAGTTTCAGATGTAAAAGCACATTCAATATCCACAAGAGAACTCACACCGCAGAGAAACCTTATAGATGCACAGAATGTGGTAAAAGTTTCCCAAATAAAAGCACATTCAATAACCACATGAGGATTCACACTGGAGAGAAACCTTACACATGTACAGAGTGTGGTAAAAGTTTCATACGTAAAACCACACTCAATTACCACATGAGAACTCACACTGGAGAGAAGCTGTTTGCATGTGTTCAGTGTGGAAAGAGCTTCACAACCAAACTTAGCCTCAAGAACCACATGAATGGTCACACTGGAACCATCGTGTTCACATGTGATCAGTGTGGAAAGAGTCTCACACGCAAAGACTCCATTAAGCGACACATGAAGACTCACTCAGGAGAGCGTTTTAGATGCAGTGAGTGTGGAAAAGACTTTAAACATAAAAGAAGCCTCAGCACTCACATGAAGCTTCACAATTCAGAGCAGAGTCCTCAACATTTAGGCCTTGTCCACACAAACACGGGTATATTCAAAACGGCAGCTTTTTCACGTAGTTTGGCTGTTCATTCAAGTGAAGTTTACTTATAAACTACTTTCGAGAGGATCACATGCTTATGATTGTCCACGGCTGGTCCAGCATTAGCTAACACATGATTCACCAATCAGATGATTCCTAACTCACTATAAATAACCAAAGTTTCTTAACTCTGTTATCTTCATCTTGAAGAATCCCCCTCCCACCCGTACTGCCCCTCCTTTCTAGATATGTGCCAAAATGGTTGCCCATAGTCGAGCTCTTAGAAGCCATATATGTCCTTTTAGCCATCTCTATATCTGTCATTACAACAGAAACAAGGCATTCATGGTGATCTACCTGAGCTCAAACTCCCCTCTCACCCTGCTTACAGAAGGGAGTCCAGAGCTTGAGTATCTTATGAGCTTAGGGCTCTCTTCTGGGACAAGTATGAACTCTTGAATACATGTCAAGTTACTGGAAATGAAACCCTTTGAACACCTGAAGATGTAAACTCAATAACTGAAGAGGGGTGAAGATTTTTAATAACTCTTTTGTAGTGTAGATCAGGGGTCACAGCCCAGTACCAGGTTGTGAGAGTTGCTATCGGGCTGCAATAATGCAAAAGACCTCTATATGTTGATAGATTGTATGACCTGTTTCATATGCAAACAAGTATCTGCATCTGAAAAGGTGTGAACCAAATGACCTACAGGAGCTCAAGAATTGTGACCCAACAAAAGCAGTTGGGTAGTCTTTTACTTGAAGATCGATGAGTTGACATCACTGATGAGGAACTGCACTATTGTCTTCAATAAAGTCTTCTACCCGTAATAACTTTGGTCAGCTTGCTTACTTTATGTATTAGTCATCTATATATTGGTGAACCACCCAAGAACAGTTTAGCCAAGTATAGCAAAATCTAACAATGTGTTTCAACTTACTATGAACGAATACCATATTTCTGCACATTGCACACTTGCAAATTGTTTATTAACTTACCAAATTGAATACTAAATCAAATGGTCGGCTCTGAAAAGAGAATTAGAAAGATTAGAGAGGAAAAAATGTTTACACACTACACATTTATTTTGATTGAGTAATTTGAAGAAAGAAACAAGTTTTCTTAATGAAGACAATTAAACTTTTCTCTAGACAAGCTTTAAAGGTTGCCTTTATAGATACGTTCATGTGAAAACTCATACATTCCTACAAATAAATACATGTATAGGAAATTCAGTGTCGCTATTGTGAATGCGAACACGAGTGATTTGTTAGCTCACATGCTAATATTAGTGATACAAAAACCTACATTTATGAATGAAGAATTTTGCAAAGCATAAAACGTTGTTAACCAGGTAATGCTGTGTACAATTTTATTTAGTTACACCCAATTTAACTTGTTTATAGCAAAAAGGCTTAACATGGATATTGACATGAGACATTCTGTCATTTACAAGAGTATATGCAATTGTAGAATATATGCTCAGTGGTTTCAATTTGACTCTCACAACATTGACAATTGACGAGAGTTATCCTCAGTATCACATTTTAATCTCAGGAATTATTTTGATGGATACACATCATTAATCATTTTAACTGAAGATCTTTCATTTTGGGGAGAATTAGATAAGAAATGTAACTTGTTCTTATTTTTTCTAATTCCTATAAATTAAAATCTTTAAAAATAAAATGATTTCTGAGCTGATTAGTATAAAGCCTTTGAATAAGAATATTCTTTAAAAACCTATTATTTCATTTTGTTTCTAAAACATTAAGTGGCCAAAAACAGAAGAGAAAACTACAGAATAGTGTGAAAGAATATCTCTGATCCATACTATGATGTTTTACGGTGAGAAGCAAAACCATGTTTGAAGCAGAAGTTTTTGTAATTCACACCCCGAAGGCATCAAAATCTGAAGCATGGTCAAGCACCTTACGCATCAGTATTGAGTGAGCTATGCCCCTTGGCGACGTTAAAGCCTCGTATAGATGTCAATGCATTTTTTAAAACCTGGTTTACACCTATTATCGCAGTTTTCTTATTTATAAAATATGTAATTTTTGTTTTGTTCATAAAAAGCATCTGTAAACTGGGTCAAGACAACTGTAAATAAGAATAAACCAGCCAAAGTGTCTTTTGTTCAACATCATTCAACGAAGAGTTTAACATCACTCAGCTATTGGTCAAACTGCATCACCGTTGAGTTCACTGATGAGTTCAACTGTGCTCCATGAGGCTGTGGTGTGAGCGCGGGCCGTCGGGGGAGACGGGAGGGGGGACAAGCGAAGCGTGCTTTGGCCCGGTTCGAGGTAACTGTACCTAGAGTGAGTACGGTCTTATTGTCACATCATCAGCAGCACGTGTGCTATGATGAGTGAAAAGCTTAGGTGCTGGCTCCAGACAGTACAAAATACAAATAGTGCAAAATACAGACGGTGCAGAATACACACAGTGCAAAATACAACAACAGAGCAAAATACAGACAGTGTGAACTACAGACAGTACAAAATTCAACGACAATGTAAAATTGACAGCAATATGTGCAATGAATAGGTGTCCACATAGTTATGGGCAGTTTTGTTTCAAGTTTACACTGCAAGATGGATCGGCGACATGAGCTTTCACATTGCATGACTTTACAATAGGAAGAATCGCCGACAACTTCCAAACTATGTCTCTCAATCAAAAACACGTCGTATATCTTTTGTTATTAAACTACATAACGAGAAATACGCCTTTAATGGGGTAGAAAATGTACATATTTGCTCACCTGGGTTTGAAGGGAATTAGCAATTTCTCATCAACTTTTTTTTATCTTTCTATATGAAACATCAAACAGACACTGGTGCTCCTGTCAAACCTCCACTAGTTTTTCCTCCATTTTTTGGGTCGAAATAAACTAAAAATTATTGCTTTTAACTGCTCCCCCAACATCCCGATGGCCAGCAGGTACACACACACACATAAGTGGATGCTGCTCTCTCATTGGCTGTAGGTGATCACGAATAATATTTTCAGTCAGAACTCATTGTACACGGCATGATTTGAATCGCCGATAGCTCCAGATATTCAGCACGCCAAATATCTCACGGGTATCTGCAAGGTGAGCAAAGTGCATTTCATGGCAAAATTAATGGTGAAAGCAAAGACTGCTTCTGTCATTAACAGTGCAACACGGACACTTTCTGTTTAAAATTATTGTGCTTTTTAATTACTATAAGAAGATTACAGAACAATTGTGAGGGCAAATCTGTCAAAATGATGAACATCATTTACGGAACAGGACCTGATACCTGATATCTATGATAAACATGCCGTCTAAAAAAATCGGCAAAATCTAAAAATCTTTCAGGTTTCAATGGTTGTTTTGTCCTGCCGAAAAACCATCCCATGTGTTTATTAAGCTGCCCCGAATGAGTGAAACTCTGTACACACTGATCATGTCTACAATTCCTTTTCAGTGTGAATCCTCTCATGTGTTTTCTAAGTTCCTAAGTAAACCTCTTTCTCCAGTGTGAATCCTCTGGTGTCGTTTTAATTCTGCAGCTGTAATAAAAGTCTTCTCACACTCCAAGCACATATAGTCTCTCACACTGTGGATCTTCATGTGTCTTTTAAAGTATGATGATAGGCTGAAACTCTTCCCACACTGAGTGCATGTGAATGGTTTCTCTCCAGTGTGGATCCTCATGTGTTGATTAAGGGATGATGAGTGCCTGAAACTTTTCCCACAACAAGTGCATGTAAATGGTTTCTCTCTATTGTGGATCATCATGTGTTGATTAAGGTGTGATGAGTGCCTGAAACTTTTCCCACAACGAGTGCATGTGAATGGTTTCTCTCCAGTGTGGATCCTCATGTGTTTATTTAGGTATGAGGATAGGCTGAAACTCTTCCCACACTGAGTGCATGTGAATGGACTCTCTCCAGTGTGGATCCTCATGTGTCGATTAAGGGATGCTGATTGGCTGAAACTCTTCCCACACTGAGTGCATGTGAATGGTTTTTCTCCGGTGTGGATCCTCATATGTCTATTAAGCGTTGATGATAAGCTGAAACTCCTCCCACACTGAGTGCATGTGAATGGTTTTTCTCCAGTGTGGATCATCATGTGTTCATTAAGGTGTGATGAGTGGATGAAATTCTTCCCACACTGAGTGCAAGTGAATGGTTTTTCTCCAGTGTGGATCCTCATGTGTAGATTAAGGTTTGATGGTTGGTTGAAACTCTTCCCACACTGAGTGCATGTGAATGGTTGTTCTCCGGTGTGGATTCTCATGTGTCTGTAAAGCGTTGATGGTTTGCTGAAACTTTTCCCACACTGGTGGCATGTGAATGGTTTCCCTCCAGTGTGGATCATCATGTGTTGATTAAGGTTTGCTGAGTGGCTGAAACTCTTCCCACACTGAGTGCATGTGAATGGTTTCTCTCCAGTGTGGATCTTCATGTGAATCTTTAGTTTGCTTTTGTTTGCCAAACTCTTTCCACACTGAGTGCAGGTAAAACAACTCTTGTCTCTCGTTTTTAAAATACCACCAGTCTCTAAATGAGTTTTGCCCTCAATTTTGACACGATGTTCCTCCTCTTTACTCTCCTCATAGTCTTTAATTAGGTCTGAAATAAAAAATTTCTGTTTTTAGTAAATCATTAAAACTCTCATCAAAAGCTGAAGTAAAAAGGCACTAAAACAGTGGCTACACAAACCTTAATTTTGATGCACATTAAATGTAAAAACATATCAGATCATATTTAGATTGATCTTGTCATATCAACCTCCTGGGGTTTATTACACACATGTACATTTAAGCAGATTCTTATATGATTGATCCCAGATCATTTTGGTCATATTGATGAGACATAAATTTGAAAGCTGTAAATTTCTCTGTAAGTTCTCTAGCCACACTAAGACCTGATTACTACCACACATGTTCGCAATCAAGAAATCACCATAGACCAAAAGAGCCTCAAAAGCTGAATCTGTCTAAATCTTTAAAAATTTAAACACAAATAAGAAAGAAAATACTTGTGTCTTGAGTAAAAAAAAAAAAAAAAAAAAAAAAGAGTGAACTCAAATGCAGAAAAACATCAAGTCTTTATTGAGGAGTGAGTCCTGGAAAAAGCAAAAATCAAACCCGGTCGGGTGAGCACTGAGGGAGTGCCATGGGGAAAAAACAACCAGACACTCAATCACTAGTGGTCCTGGAAACAAATACAGGGTGAGTATCAAAATAATATGCACACAAATGATCGATAACATACTGAGACAAACATGAAGGTAAATGATGTGGTATAGAAAGGAAAAAGGAAATGAGAGCTCCTGTGACTACAAACAAAAGCAGATGAAAAGAGATCATCTGTAACCCAGAACTGGAGGAGAGAGCAAAAGAGGCAGAGGTGGAAAGAGTAATAAAATATTTTATTCGAGTAAAAGTACTGTTACTTACAATTTTTTTTCACTTAAGTAAGAGTAAAGTTACATGTCTACAAATCTACTCAAGTAAAAGTAAAAAATAATAAAAATAACTCTTCTTTTTATTCATGAGTACATTTTTAATGAGTAACTATTTCTTAAAAAGGGACAAGATGATATAAATCTCCAATTAGTTGTTTTTATTTGTATAAGTAACTTTAAAAACTAAAGACCAATAACAAAAAATAATATAACTATTACAAATATTTTTACAGATGATCCTATTCATACAAATTCTAATGCAACATCTGTTGTGTTAGCTAGATGGGCTATATGCACATAGACATTTAATTTTTAGCCAGGCAGCCCAAGGGCTTCCGGTGAACTGTCTTTTAATTTTAAAATCGTCACGTTTAAGATCTGATTTCTTTAAAAATCTGTGATCTTCATTGCCTGTTAGACATACGAATATGAGGTGGGTCTCAGATCGGACAAGAAGCACTGCATTAAAGTCCATTTCCCTTGCCATGTCTTTAAAATATGACTGTTTGTTTTACCCCAGTATTTTGGTCTTTGCTAGATCAGATACAGTTGCGGCCAAAAGTTAATGGGAATTATTTATATTATTTATTAAATTTCACATTTGTTGTTTTTTATTAACGTCTACCCCAACCTTAAATCCAACTGTTACAGTAATGTAAAAACAGTAGTTGTATCGAACATTATTCAAGCTATCTATTAAATTACCCAATAAATTGTATTTTTTAAAGCCTAACCCCACCCCAACCCTAAACCCAACCTACACAGTACTGTAAAAATATTAATTCTTGTTATACATTCATTCATTTTCTTTTCGACTTTCATGCCAACTGACCCAGCCAAGGCTCGAACCTGCGACCTTCTTGCTGTGAGGCGACAACACTACCTACTGCGCCACCACGTTGCCTATTGTTATACAGTGTCATAAAAAACAAATGCTGCTATATTGATGTGCATAGCGCACATACGACAAGGAGTCTGACAACAGCCAGTGCTCCACACAGAGATCTTATCATTTGACATACTGTATTTTCTTTTATATATATATATATATATATATATATATATATATATATATATATATATATATATATATATATATATATATATATATATATATATATATATATATATATATATATATATATATATATATATATATATATATATATATATATATATATATATATATATATATATATATATATATATATATATATATATATATATATATATATATATATATATATATATATATATATATATATATATATATATATATATATATATATATATATATATATATATATATATATATATATATATATATATATATACATATATACATATATATATATATATATATACATACATATATGATAAAAAAAACTCTGCCTGGCAGCAGGGTCACATGGGCACTGGGAACATCATCCCGGTGCTCCCGATGGCCAATTCGGTCATGAGTTCTGCTATAATTTATTTGCAAAACCACTTTAATAATTTTTCTTTTAGACTCTTCTCAGATATTATTAACTAACTAGAATAATTAGAATTTGTAAGTGCAACAATTTCATCTGTAACAATTACAGTAAATTTGTAATTGTGTAAAATGAAAACCATCTTGACCAGTAGACCAACTAGCTTTAAAAACAACAACAACAACAACAACAACAACAAAAACAGGTTGTGAAACCAGCTAAAGTCATCCTGGCCAAGTTGGAAGACCAGCTAAAACCAGCTTGACCAGGCTGGGAGACCAGCTAAAACCAGCCTGGTCAGACTGAGAGACCAGCTTGACCAGCCTGGCCAGGCTGGGAGACCAGCTAAAACCAGCCTGGTCAGACTGAGAGACCAGCTTGACCAGCTAAAACCAGCTTGACCAGGCTGGGAGACCAGCTAAAACCAGCCTGGTCAGACTGAGAGACCAGCTTGACCTGCCTGGCCAGGCTGGGAGACCAGCTAAAACCAGCTTGGCCAGGCTGGGAGACCAGCTAAAACCAGCCTGGCCAGACTGAGAGACCAGCTTGACCAGCTAAAACCAGCTTGACCAGGCTGGGAGACCAGCTAAAACCAGCCTGGTCAGACTGAGAGACCAGCTAAAACCAGCTTGACCAGGCTGGGAGACCAGCTAAAACCAGCCTGGCCAGGCTGGGAGACCAGCTAAAACCAGCTACTTCCAGCTAAAACCAGCTAAGACCAGCCAACCAGCTTAGGCTGGTTTAAGCTGGTTTTTTCAGCAGGGTAAGCCTTGAATTAATTACTTTAAGCTTTGGAAAAACAATTTAGGACATTTTTGTGCTTCTTGCAGCTCATCAAATGTTACAGACACAAATGGCACCCATTTGACCCATAAATGTTTAGAGTAAAGCTTTTAATCAACTCCAAATACTGCATATATGTGTGTCTATGTATGTGGGAAAGTGGAAAACGAGGGAGAAATGTATCAACAAGTCATGATTGCAACAGTAAGTAGCAATAAAAAGCTAAACAAAGACTCTTATTTTGGCGTGTCTTGTGACGTCATAAGGCTGCGCCGCTACCGTGCTGGGATTCAACTGGAGAAAGGTTTGTTTTAAAGCTTTTTACAAAGATACAAACCGTTTGATTAAAGATTTAGGTTTTCGCCCGATGCTATGATATACCTGCTGTTGACAATATTGTTTTAACCCTTTATACAATGTAGTACTATTTTATTCTCAGTAACTGAGGACTATGTTTAAATGAAGAAAAGTGTGTAATGAGTGTATAAAAGAAACCTTTTACCTGATTTACTTTTGGTTAACTACTCTCATATAAAGAAACTGTTTGAAGCAGGTGTTGAAGAGAAGTTATTTTGTTTCTGTTCATTGTTTTATTTATTTTAAACAGGATAAATTGTCCAAACAGAGAAAAACTCCTGCTGAAGCGACTGATCTCCACACTGTTATAAAGATGGCGTTTATTAAAGAGGAGAATGAAGATGTGAAGATTGAAGAAACATTCACAGTCAAACAGGAAGATCTGCAGGAACAAACAGGTTGGTTTCCTTACTGATATATTTTTATAATAAGAATACTATATTAAATCCATCTTGCAGCCCTGAGTGTGCTGCCTAGTTCTACTAAATGCACATAAGCACCCAGGAATGAGTTTATTTCTTGTTTCTTTGTTCTCATGTCTTTTGTCATTATTTTTATGTATTATTAGTCTCCCATTTTCTCTATCTTCTTAAGGTTATTGCTTTTCTTGTTCTTCTACTGTTGGTAAAGAGTCCTTGAGCACTGGCCCTATATAAAATAAATAATAACAATAAATAAATAAAAAAAGTTTAACTTAGCTGACGATATTTGACCTACAGTATTCTCATAAAATATATCTGGTATTATGGTGATAGTGTTTTCTTAGTTTTTTTTTTTTTTTTTACCATTTGCAAATGTCATGTTGATCACAATTACCTTTTTTTCCATCAACTTCTTTTCAATTCTGACTTCTTTATGGGTTTAAACTTGTTTCTAGTAGTTGTTACTAGTTCTCACAGATAATGTCTTCGAATTGCATCATTATTATAACTAATTACCAGGGCTATTGTGTTTAAACAGGGTTTCCGCAAGTCATAAAATGTTGTAAATTCCAAAATCCAAATTTCAGGCTTTAAAAAGTCTCAGATTTACTGAAATATTGTGTTGTAGGTCTTAAACCTTTTTTAAACAAGTCTTAATTTTCCTTTGTTCATGTTTTGCTACCCAATCTGGCCAAAACCCATACAATCACCAACAATCCATCTCAATAAAACTTTAAACTTTTTATTTAAAAAGGTCATTTTAACTCTATTTATCATAATGGTTTAATTATTTTCCTTACAATAGCATTTGTTTAAACATGCTCCATGTATTTACTCCTGAGGACATGACCTGGACAAATTGTTGTGCATAGATTTAGTTTATTATAGTTTTTACAACTTTTAAAGCATTTGTTCATTTTTTATTCTAAAGAAAGTTTATGTTGGAAAAAACTTGTGTGGATACAAGTAGAGATTGCTTGTTTTGACACGATATTTAAGAAATTTTGCTAAAAAATATCTAAAATATTAAAATGTATTATTTTTCATTTGTCATTGTATTAATAAATGTATTAAATTATAATATGTTTGATAGGACAAATAAAAATCTTTTCATCTGGGGCATTTGAA